GCCCAGTCATCATAAATTTAAATCTAGAAGAGAGCTGTTTAAGCTTACTGTGGCTCTAAATCATTAAGTTTTTAGATGTCCTTTTTTGTATTTATAAACTTTTAATAAAAACAGTAAAAGATGAGTCTTAAAAAACGGTACAAAAGTGTGTATGTGTATTAAAAATATAAAGCATGTTTAAATACTTGATATATATTTATTTTACATCAGAGTGGAAGGCATGAGATACCTGGCAAAGGACAGTAACTCATGATAGCTGAGAAAGGCTGACTAGTCAGCACGCGGGAAGTGTTAGAAGAGATGAATGGCGTAAGAGAATAGCCCCAGAATAAAGAGCTAGAACATTATCCATGTTTTGATCCGTTTATAAGCCTTATGTCCTACAAGATACTGGACAGATCCTTTTGTTTTTGCAATAACCATTAGCACAGCTCTGATCCGCCAGTTCTGCCTCTCTGGAATCTTGTGACGTAGAGAAGATTGTGGTAAATGTTTTGTTGGAAGGACTTGTGTCACTAAGCAGGTATGCTTTTGAAAGGTAGTGGGCTCTTTGGTGTATGAGATACATATGTGTACCAGCTCCATTCCTTTTTCCCTGAAAAGCAGAACTTTTCCTGCCAGCATTGTGGTGATAGCAGTGGTAGCGTACACCCCGAAAATGTCAAACCTCCAGTAGTATGTGAATAAATTACCAGCATCTTTTAATTTGCTATGATATGCTTGATATGAAAGAAGTTTCTCAATTTCAAGTACCTGTTGTTTGGAGGAAAAACATTGTCTTGTGTACTGAAATGTCTAGTAGAGTAACTCTTTTTTTAAAAAAAGGGGAAGGGAGGCGTAGATTTAAAAGTAATGTTCTAATTACTTGCTGTTTTGTTTTGTTGCCAGATATTTGCTCAATGATCTGAACTAATTTACACCTCCTATATAATTTCAAATATAAGTGTGGTATGTATGCAGTATATTAGCTTCTGTGAGAGAGGATTCAGGAAAAAACAAGCAGTCTTGAGGTTTTGGTTGATGAATGTTGGAAAGTAACCCTGTCTTTTGGATGTTGAACTACTTAGGAAATTGTATTTCTTCTATATTAATGTAACTCTGCCATATTTAAATTTTGACATTACATAAAGAGAGTGCTGTATATTTTGAAGGTCCTGTTAGTTTTCCTTCCTTTTTCATACAGGAATAATCAGTTTGTTAGTTGTGTTAATGCTCCAGATGCATTGTTTTTGTAACGTCCTGTTTTAAGACTGAGGTTTCACAATGTGGAAATTTTTTTGGATTTTTCTGGCAATTTCGGTGTCTTATTAATAAGTAGCTTAAAGAAAAAGGTTCTGCATGTTGGAGGCAGAAAGTTATAACTCAGGTCTTTTAGAACAGGAGATTCCTAAAATGCTGTATTTACCTTGAAATGTAAATTGCCCAGGAGCTGTTAGTGTTACTAATTTTACTCAGGGCTGTTTACTTCAATAAAAATTTAGAAAGGTAATGTGCTTGCTTCTGTTTAGGTTTGTTTATGAATTTTTATGTGGGGAGCTGTGGAAATTCATATTTCAGATGAATATTAATTGTTTAAATAATGTTCCAGATTGTTGGTTTTCCACATTGAATAAAGCAGCGTGCTGGAGACTTGCTTACATTTTTGGACTTCAGTCTACAGGAAGCCTATGAGGCAAAGAGGCACGAGTTCTACCTTGACCTGCAAAGAAAAGAGGAGGAGATGAGACAACAGTTTGTGCAGAGAGTGAAGGAGAAAGAAGCAATATTGAAAGAAGCAGAGCAACAGGTAATGCCTCTCTGTCTTGAGTTTGCTGAGTTTTGGAACAGTTAAGTTCTTAGCGAAATCACAACTAGTTGATATTTATGATGTCCTAGTATTTTGAGGGCAGCAATGCTTAAAATCGAAAGCAGATTGATTACAGAGATTGATTGGATTAGCAGATTGATTAGACACAAGCAAACAAGAGAACAGGTCTTACGAGGAGCGGCTGAGGGAACTGGGACTGTTTAGCCTGGAGAAAAGGAGGCTGAGGGGAGGCCTCATCGCTCTCTACAACTACCTGAAAGGAGGTTGTAGTGAGGTGGGTGTTGGTCTCTTCTCTCAAGTAACTAGCGATAGGACAAGAGGAAACGGCCTCAAGTTGCACCAGGGGAGGTTTAGATTGGATATCAGGGAAAATTTCTTCACCAAAAGGGTTGTCAGGCATTGGAAGAGGCTGCCCAGGGAAGTGGTTGAGTCACTGTCCCTGGAGGTATTTAAAAGACGTGTAGACGTGGTGCTTAGGGACATGGTTTAGTGGTGGACTTGGCAGTGCTAGGTTTATGGTTGGACTCGATGATCTTAAAGGTCTTTTCCAACCTAAATGATTCTCTGATTCTATAAATGGCAGTCTCTTTTTGGAAGGAGGGAGCTTATGGTCTAAAGGCATTGGTGGATAGCTGGGACAAGTCAATAGAGTAGGAGGTGATATGGTGAAGTAAGAGAGTGATGAATATAATGGTTGCATGTTTCTTCGTCTTCTCTAGCAGTATGCTGAGAAAAATTGGTGTGCCATAGCAGCACAGTAGGTGCTTTTCATGCATAGGTTGCTCTGTAAAAACCAAGATTTCAGGGAAAAATATCCCATGGGTTGTTTTTCAGCCCAAGAGAGTGGGGCATGTATGTTTGTATGACCTCCAGGTTCAGTTATTAAATACAAGCTCAACCCTCACGTTGAGAGGTTTGAAAGAGGGGGGGTTGTTTTTGTTGGTTTTGTTTTGTTTTGTTTTTAAAATCTCATCTATTCCCAGCTGCCTTAAGAATATTTGGAGATGTGGAACATTTCTTGAATATGTTGTTGAAGATTTAGTCCTGTCAAGCTGGACTGGCAAAACAGGATCTTCTCATCTGCTTTCTGGCAGACTCTATCGTGGTCATGTGTATTTATATTCAAACAATGGTTTAATTGAAATTGGAAACCTGTGTATATTTATTAATGTTCTTTTCTGTACCTCAGTCTCCCGGCAAAGATGTAGCAGTTTTTGTGAGGTGTTCAGATGCATGTTTTAAATAAGAAGAAGGCTTAATACTTTGTTTTCTAAATCTGTTAAGTCCCCCATGCTACTTGTGGAGAAAAAAATCAGGTTCAATCTTCTCAGTATGAGGCTATCCAATTGGAAGAATACTTGGCCACGTTCAAAGTAGGTTCAGCTAGGTCTTACACAGTTTCTGTGGTACCCTTTGATGTTTTCCTTCTATAATTTATACCAGGCGGTTTGTGAGCTCTGCATATTGCAATTGAATTATGGACATTAGTTTTCCCAGTTCCTCATGTGGGAAAGCAATCATGCAGTCACTCCTGAAGAACATTTGTCATATACTCTTGCTGCCCATTCTCTGAGAAGTGTGTGTGTGTATCTGGAAACTAAAGAAAAACAGGAATTTCTGTTGTACTTAAGATTGCTTTCACATCCTTCATTTAGAGGAAACATGTAGGTGCAATGTGCAGCATTACCACTCCTGAGACATACAGTCGCTTAGGACCTTACTGTTTCTACCCTGAACGGTTTTATTGGTATACCTGCTTTCGCAATGCATCTGTTTCACTGTTGCAATGAAATAAATAAATGAATAGTATACATACATACATACACACACATTTATAAAATGTGACTGCTCTACTGTGTAAAACAGGCATACTGTTATATTTATAATCTTACTTATTTCTTAATTCCTTCTTTGCAAAAGATGGAAATAAATCTCTGATTTCTGTACCAGTATAGCGGCACTCAGATTGAGTTATACCGATACAGATGGGTACAGAAGCAGGATTCTAGGAGAGTTTATGTGTGGGGAGATGGGAGGTGAGGAAGGGTGGAGTGAAGTACCCTTTGGTTATCATGCACAACTTCACGGTAGGTTTAAACTGGTCAAAATGCATCTGGAGAGTAAAATCCATGAATATGTCAAAAGAACAACTAAAGAAGAATTACGGCAGAAAAGCAGTTAACTTCTAGCAGCCCACAGGTAACTCCCCCAACCAGACTTATTGTATGTGTACATATTAATATGTAAATGTAATTAATATACATACTAAAATTTTTTATATGTATATGAAAATACATACCTGTGTAACTAAAGTATGTATGATTCCTTGCCTACTTGGTTTTAGGGAAGTAGATTCTACCTGACAGATCCGGATTTAATCCTTCTGTTGGTAATTGTTTCTTCTCTAAAGGCCTCCTTATTTTTGGTATAATAAAGATATAGTAAAACCTAGTAGGAAATCTAATATTCACTTAGTGCCTTCCATGGTTTCCACCTGTACTTTGTGTGCAGTAGCCTGGCTTCCATGAGAACAATCTGATATGGATGATTATTCTTCTGGGTTGCTGTTTTTTAGTCTTATCAGTTTTGGGAAAGAACTGCAATGTCTTAGGACTTTTAACACAAGTTGAGGTAGGTTTTACTGTTTAATTGCAGAGGGTTTTTGTATTGTGATATCACCCTCTTGTGTTACTAGTTGGAAATATATTTTTTGTGCTTTCTTTAAACAGGTTCAGACTAAATTTGAACATTGTGTGCTAATGCATCAAGAAGTGAAGCTGAAATTAGAGAAAAAGAAAAAAGTTCTAGAAGATGAAATAGCTATGTTTATTGAGAAGAAAGCTAATGCTGAATTACTCCAATCACAAGCATCTGTCTCTACCCCTGTTGTTAGTTTGAAGAGAGACAAGGACCGCAAAAAGTAAGTGCCGATGCTAGTCATCAGAGGCGGGAATAAAAAAACTCTTCACATACCACTTTTAAAAAGCAAATTTTAGTAATCTTTTAGAAAAGGTGCAAACATGCTCCTATTCTGCTATGTGATAAGACAGAAGCGTGTAAAATACCCTCATGCTTGGATCACTGGCTCTAAAATTTACCTTTAGAGTAATTGCTGTGTGTTCTATGAGCATTCTTTCTTTTTTTTTCTCTTTTTTTTTCCATGAAGGAACCAAGGTTTTCGACTTGAACTCCTGTGCTTTGATGTCAGAGATGAAGAAGTTATGAATGTTCACGAACAGAGCGAGAGGGAGAGGGAGAAGTTAGAGAGGGAGAGAAATTCACCCAGGGAATTCCAGAAATAGTATTTGATTGCAGCACTCAGGTTTTGAATGTAGGATATGTTAGTTTTATGAAGCAGTCTGACTGCTGCTGTCCCATAATACTAGATGTGTCTTCCTAGTACAGATTTCTGAGAGGAGAGACTGATAAAATTGGCTGTAAAATTACACCGAGTGCAGAATATGACCTGATATAGATTTCACTTTCTTCCCTCCCACCCACTTCTTCCCTTCTCCACTCCCAAAAGAAAAGCTCGAATAAATTGTGAAATTTCAGAAATGTATTCAAAAGTAGTCTCCAGAATAACATGCCCAACTTCTTCATATATAAATATTGAATTGAATGTTCATGTATAAACATGAAATTAAATTGAATTAATTTTTGTTCTCCTCCAAAACCAGAAGTCAATTAATTTATTAATTTCCTTTCCTGATAGGTTACAACTTTACTGCAGATAACATTTTGTTGTTTAATATCTTACTGCACTTGAAAGCAGATTTGTTGGTATAGAAATTATTCATAACTGCTAGATTATGAAAAACTCTAGAAGCTAGATGGGTGCACATATTTCCACAAATACCATCAAGGCAGCTTTGACATTTTTGGGGTCTATGCTAGCAGCCTGCTTGTGTTTTTGCCAAAATTTGTTGCGTTTCAAGTAATGTTACCGAGTTCCTTTTCCTAGACTCCTTTTTCTGGAATTATATATGAAAGTGGAATTCTTGGTAACGGAAGGCATTATCTGCACTATTATGAGTAACTCGCAACTTCTGAAAATTTTTAGATTTGTTTTCTCTGTTTTAGCTTTATTTCTTCAGAGTACGGTATGGTTTATATGCTTGCTTTTGTTTTTCAGTTCCAGCTTTACATAATACTGATGATAGAAGAAACAATATTGATAATTTCTCTTGAGGAAGCGATGATTCACAGTGTGCTTTTGAAGGTGTTGGAGTTGCAGTTTCTTAACCAAAGGATTTGGAAAATACCTCTTGTTGCTGTGTGCTGCAAAAGAAGAATTTTTAAGCATGATCTGTACACGTACGGTGCGGCGATTACTGTCACTGCCATCATGGACTTTCTATTACGAGTCTGCTTTGATACGCACTTGCCTTACATACGTGTGGCCAACTTGCTTTCATTTTAAATGCATTGTACCAAAAAAAATGTCGCTGCCATAAAGAGTTCCATTCATAATATGAATGCTGTAGTACAAAAGTATTCAGTGAATATATCCAGTATAACCTTTCTAAAGAGTTATTTTCCTATGGTATGGTATATTAGTCTACTAAATATTATTTTATACAACTGTCGACATAATTTAACCATTTACTGATTTTGCTGACAACTTTTTGTTTATAGGCTTTTATGTACAAGCACTGTCCTAAATTTCAGATATGATCTTTCTAATCAAAATTTATTGATGTTTTTGCAGTGCTGTACTGTTGCATGATAGTTGATCTGACATTACTGACTTAATATGGAAAGTACCTATAACTTTTTGATGCTTGTGACTGTGGTGTTCAGTTACAGCAGAGGCTGAACTTTACAAAAACTATTAACTACAAGAGCTTCAGGTTAAAACAAGTTTAAAATGGTTTTTATATTTTCAGTAGCCATGATAACTAATGGGAAACTATAAGAGGTGGCGTTCTCTGAAGCTGTTTTGTGCGACTTTGTAAAAATGAAATACTAACTGGATAGAAATAAAATACATGGGTTTTGCTTAAGTGTTTCTGTTGTTCTGCTTTCTCTCCCTCCCACGTTATTAAAAACAAGGAGTAAGATTTCACATTAATCTGAAAAATATAAATGTTTTGCATCTGTTTTAAATGTCTTAAGTCATTTATTGATTGGAAAAAATAGGTGATTTGTGCATACTGCGCCAGAAAGGCAATACGACTTGCGATATACTTGTCATATACCACTGTACTTATCATAGAACCATACAATGTCTCAAGTTGGAAGGCACCCATAAGGATCATCGAGTCCAGCTCCCTGCTTCTCGCAGGGCTACCTAAAACTAAGCCATATGACTAAGAGCATTGTCCAGATGCTCCTTGGACTCCGACAGGCTTGGTGCCGTGACCACTGCCCTGGGGAGCCTGTGCCAGTGACTGACCGCACCTTCTATTTCACTCACCCAGTGATGCATATTATACAAGATTGTTTTCCTACAATTCTGTAGCAATGGGAAGGAATATATACCAAGATACATAAACCCTTCGTTGCCAGGAAAGGGTCAAACTGCTAATTCAATCAGCTCCACAGGCACAGCAGGCTGTAACATAGGAGGGAAGAGTTAAGAGGAGACACCCATTTAGCCGGCACGCTCAGCCAGCATATAACTGACACTTCTTTCAAGAGAAGAAAATGGGCCAGGGCCAGGCACCGTGATTGCTGTCTGATTGCTCCTTCCTGAGCGAAATGTAGCTTGGTGAAAGACTGTATTTTTTGTCTGGCTTTGTATCATTGACTGGCCCATTTGCATCTGTTTGATTAGAAACAAGGGATATGCCCTCCTTGAAGGAGGTAACAGCCAAATGAAAAAAAAAAAAATCTGTTTTTTTAACTGAGCAGTAGATTTGAAAGTGTTATCAAGTGATCCTGAGCAGAATGCAATTACAATTGAGTGATGCGTACTGTCAGCACTCACTTAGCCCGGTGTGGGTTATCCCAGCCGCTGGTGTTAGTTAGCTCAAGCACAGCTCTTCATGAGCGTTACAAAACCGCATCAAAAGACAGATTTAACCGCCTGTGGTGTGACCACTTTGCTGAGGACGAAGCCTGAGATGGTTAAGAACTGTTTGACCTAGATAGCTCTGTGCCTGGCCAGTATTAGAGGATGTGCCGTGCTTTGGCAGCTGGGAACCATGAATAGTACAGTATGGATACCACGCCTCTTGGTCAGAATCGGTTTACGTTCAGTTGCATGTGTTGGCCCTGCAGGACTCAGCCGCAGAACAAAACTGGTGCAGGCACCTGTGCAGGTCTTCGGAACAGGTGACAATTAAAGGGAGCTTGTTAGGTCAGTTGTAGCACAAAATGATGTAGCACAAAATGAGAGAGCTGGTGCGTTTTTCCTTTTTTCCCCTCATACTCATTTAAGCAGTGGAGAGTCATCTGTAAGTATGGGCAATTCCACAGCTGTTTTGTTTAAGTTTGCCTAAAGATGAGATACCAGATAAGCGCACAAGCGCACAGTCCAATGCAGTTCAGAGAGTTATAAAGGAACAGGTAACTATCTCCTGAAAGTGGAGAATTAATAGTGGTAGTAAACTACGGTGAAGCATATACATTTTTATTTATCTTAGCTATGTGCTTTTTAATTGAACACTTCAGAGAGGTTTATCCTGCAGATGAAATGGTTTCAAGACCATTTATTAAGGTGTCGTTATGGTACCTTCTGCAAGTGGCTACTGCGAGACTATTTACAGCCTTTACAAGTCTGAAGCCTTTACCTTTTTAGATCCTTTACTTAGGATACTTTCCATATATATTTTGTATATTTATTCTTAACTATATCTTTAAAATTACTTTGCCATGAGAAGACACAGCCAGGATGCATTAGTGGTTTTATCTTAATCTCCTATGCTAACAGTATAGCATCGCCTTCATATTTGGTGACAGAAACATACTTAGATTTGCATTGTGAAATTAGGTGGAGAATATACTGGACTTCAAAAATTAAGACCGTATGGACATTGGAAGCAAGGACAGGCGACACAGGAGGACTACAGCGATGCTGTTTGCCACTGTAGGGAGAAAATTTGTGCAGCCAAAGCTCGATTGGAGTTCAAGCTGGCCAGCACTGTGAAGGACAACAAAAAGGGCTTTTTTAAATATAACAGGAAAAGGAGGATAAGAGATAACATTGGGCCGTTCCTTGATGAGGTCGGTCACCTCACAAATAGGGACATAGAAAAGCAGAGACGTTTAATGCCTTCTTCGCCTCTGTCTTTAACACTGATGATGGGCCCTGGGACACCCGGAGCTCTGTGCTGGAAGACTGTGACCAGGAGGATGATAAACTTCCAGCCAACTCTGAACTTGTTCAAGACTTGCTGCTCCAGCTGGATGCACATAAGTCTATGGGGCCCAGTGGGATTCATCCCAGGGTACTGAAAGAGCTGGCCGATGTTATCACAGGACCTCTCTTTGTTATTTTTCAATGGTCTTGGGAGTCTGGAGAGGTCCCAGTTGACTGGAAGCTGTCAAATGTTCCAATTTTCAAGAAGGATAAGAAGGAAGACCTTGGTAATTACAGGCCTGTCAGTCTCACTTCAGTGCCCGGTAAAATTATGGAGAAGGTTATTCTGGGACTTACTGAAAAACACTTGAGAGACAACACAGTCATTGGTCATAGCCAGCACAGGTTCACGAGGGAAAAGTCCTGCTTAACTAACTTAATTTCCTTTTATGACAAGGTCATCCATCTAGTTGACCAAGGAAAGCCAGTAGATGTGGGTTTTTTGGATTTTAGCAAAGCTTTTGGTACCGTCTCTCACTGTATCCTTCTGGACAGAATGTCCAGCACACAGCTAGACAAACCCATAATACGTTGGGTGAGCAATTGGCTCATGGGTCGGGCTCAAAGAGTTACAGTAAATGGGGTTACATCAGGCTGGCGGCCAGTCACCAGTGGCGTTCCCCAGGGCTCAGTTTTAGGGCCAGTGCTCTTTAATGTTTTTATAAATGATCTGGACGCAGGAATTGAATGTACATTAAGTGAGTTTGCCGACAATACTAAACTAGGATAGGAGCTGTGGACTCCCTCTAAGGTAGAGAGGCCTTACAGAGACGTCTGGCTAGACTAGAGAGCTGGGCAATCATGAACCGTATGAAATTTAACAAGAGCAAGTGCCGGGTTCTCCACCTGGGACGGCATAATCCTGGTTATACACACAAATTGGGGGACGAGAGACTGGAGAGTAGCCCCACGGGAAGAGATCTGGGGGTTTGGGTTGATGGCAAGTTGAATATGAGTCAACAGTGTGCCCTGG